TTTGATCTTTATTTATTAGTTTATTTTTTGTATTTATTTTATTTTATTGATATTTATGTATATTTATCTTTTCATTTTAATTTATAATTATATATTTTTAGAAACCAACCAGATGAGAAAACTTTACATATACCCCAATAATAATAATAAGCCCCCTAAATAACCACACGTCCTGATTGACCATCTAATCACGTGGGGGGGCGGACACACGAATGAGAAATTACTGGCGTGGCTAACGTGGCTCTGGAAACCCATAAATAAAATGAAGACTCGTTCTAAAAGTAAACATATAGGGCCGCTACCCGGGGGCGATCGCCGGGGTGCACCTGGAGCTGACGCTGGGTGTCACAGCATGCGATCTGTCAGCGGTGAGGAGTTGAACAGGCGGGCTCCCACCCACAAAGATACTACAGCCGAACTCATTGACGATGGTGATAGACTGACGGACAGGACAGACACCCCTGTAGAACCATATAGTCCAAGAACAGTATCATACACACCCTCGAGGCCAACATCACCATCCATACCATCGTCACCAACACCTCCATCACCCCCTGTTACTTGTTTAAATACAGTTCCACCTACTCCGACCGTCTTACCCGTGTCTATCAAGGCTGGAAAAGCAAGAGTTCGAATGAAATGGAGTAAAGAAGTAAATCTATTTATCATGTCTATACATTACTAAATTAGAGACCGATATGACCACGTACAGACAACAATTACACGCACATTTCACTCGACAATATCCAGAAATTACTGTTTCAGAACAAAGAATCTCAGACCAAAGAAGAACCATAGTCAGGAATAAACTTCTATCCCGAAGAAGTTATAGATCAATTTAAAAGAAGAAGTACGAACACAATTAATTCAAGAAGAAGCGAATAACAGCTATGTAGAAACTAATATCACACAAAACACAAGTGAAAATGATCGCCAAGTACAACCACAATTGCTCAGTCAATCACAACTCATTTGTACACAATCTCAGCCATGCGACAATTCACAAATCTGCGCACAAATATCACACACATCCACATAAACCGAAACCGTAATCCTAACGCTAGAAAATGACGTTGAGACCATAGTTGTCCCAGATCAACACTTAACGACTGTACATATATTCAAGAAATCAATGAGAAATTTAGAACAACAATAACGTTATACTCTGGGATGGATTCTGCAGCGCGACCAAGATTACCCAAACTTAAGTACACACCTAACCTGTTTTGACTGGTTAATTTATTTAATGAACTATACTCACACAATATATATCTGATGACACACAACTTATAGACATAAATTTACTTATATACTGCACAGCGGTAGTAATATCCGAAGAATTGAACTTTAAAATCACAGACAATGCAAGAACTACAAGAACAAGACAAAATACGGAACCAGCATGGCAACAGAGACTAGAAAAAGACATTGAAAAATTAGGAGCAAACATAGGTAGACTCACGCAGTATATTAACGGTTGTAGATCTAATAAACTAGTCAAAAAATTAAAGGTCATATTTAGGAATAATGCTACGCATACCAGACACGAAAAGAGTAACACAAGACCTGAAGAATTTTTAGACACGTTAAAACAAAAATTAGCACTTAAAGTTCATAGACTCAAAAGGTATAAAAAAGCACAACAGCGGAAAAAAGATAACGTCACATTTGCCAAAACGAAAAATAGTTTTATAGAAACTTACACAAACAGACACAATCGATGAACGTAACACACATACATCTAACCTACCTACAAAAGAACAACTAGAAGCATATTGAGCGAGTATATGGGAAGAGCAAAAACAACATAACGACAAAGCATCTAGGATAATTGAAGAGGCAGCAAAATGGAGAGATATTGGCGAAATGGAATTCGAAGAGGTAACAGAATTAGACATAACACTCATTACAGCTAGATTACATAGTTGGAAATCACCTGGTATAGACAAAATTCATAATTTTTGGTACAAAAAAATTAACATCTCTACACAAACCTTTAGCAAGAAGTTTAACAGATATAATAACAGGACAACAGAACACTCCCGAATTTATTGCAACAGGAATTACTTATATGCTACCTAAAACAAAAAATTCACCTCAGCCTTCCCAATACCGACCAATTACATGCCTACCCACAATTTACAAAATATTGACATCTGCAATAAAAAAAATTCAGTCGCACATTGAACACCACAATATAATAGCAGAAGAACAGAAGGGATGTAGACAGGGCCACATGGGATGCAAAGAACAGCTGATAATTGATTCCACTATTCATAAACACGCCACCTCTAAAAATAGAAATTTACATTGCACCTATATTGATGATAAAAAAGCGTTTGACAGTGTTCCTCATTCATGGTTATTAAAAATATTAGAAATTTATATAATAAAACCCGAAAATAATCGATTTCAACGCCGAATAATGTTACAATGGAAAACAACTCTACAAATAAATTGTAACCAAAATACTGTCACCACGCGACAAATCTCAATCACAAAAGGCATCTACCAAGGTGACTCCCTGAGCCCACTGTGGTTCTGTCTCGCCCTAAAGCCTCTGTCTCATTTGCTGCTGAGCTGCGGGCCCGGATATTGCCTCAAACTTAATACAGACGAAACAACAATATCGCATCTTATATACATGAACGACATCAAATTATATGCAAAAACAGACAAGGATATGAAGAAATTAATAGATATAACAACAGAATTCAGTAGCGATATTAATATGTATTTTGGTTTAGATAAATGTAAAACACTTCACATTGTAAGAGGCAAAGTAAGGCCCGGCGAATATGTAGTAAATGAAACGGAGGCTATTACAGCAATGGAATCGACTGAATTATACAAATATTTAGGGTATGTCCAACTTAAAAGTCTTGACCACGTACGAATTAAAAATTCTCTCACTACGGAATACAAGAGAAGACTAAGCGCCGTTTGTAAAACTCAACTTTCAAGTAAACATCTCATCAAAGCCATTAACACCTATGCCATCCCCATATTAATGTACTCATTCGGAGTTGTAAAATGGTCCAAAACTGACGCAGAACAATTAGAGCGAACTACACGTACAACACTCACGAAACACAACAACCTACACCCTAAATCCGCCATAGAGAGACTAACAATAAAACGAGAACATGGAGGGAGAGGCTTAATAGATACCCAGCATCTATGGCGGAAACAAGTTAGTTGATTAAAATCATTCTTCTATACAAAATCCCATACTAGCATTATTCATAAGGCCATCGTAACGAATGATATTAACTACACTCCACTTAACTTAAGCAATGAGATTGAATCCGAAAACACTACCAGTGATAACCCACAGACACACAAAATTGACGAATGGAAGAAGAAAGTACTCCACGGTCGGCACCCTATGACTTAGAGCAATCCCACATAAATAAGTTAGCTTCATATAAGTGGCTGAAAATAGGCAACTTATTCCCAGAAACAGAAGGATTTATAATAGCTATTCAAGACCAGATCATAAACACAAAAAATTACAGAAAATATATAATCAAAGATCCTACAGTAAATAATGACAAATGTCGCAAATGCCACACACATCCAGAAACCATTCAACACATCACAGGCGCATGCACAGCTCTTACACAGACTGACTACACTCACAGACACAACCAGGTGGCCAATGTCATTCACCAAAAACTAGCACTCAAACACGCACTCATTCAAGATGCCAACACTCCGTACTACAATTATACACCAAAACCTACTCTAGAAAACACCATAAATAAACTTTTTTACGAGCGCGGCATTCTCACCGATAGGAAAATCCACTATAACCGACCATATATAATTCTACAAGATAAAACAAATAATATTACTTACCTGATAGACATTGCAGTCCCCAACACACACAACTTGCAGAAGACGATGACTGAAAAAATTAGTAAGTACGCAGAACTTAAAGATGAAGTGACTAGAATCTGGTAACAAGAAAAAGTATATGTGGTCCCTATAGTCCTCTCCACAACAGGTGTCATCCCAAATCATCTCCTCTGTAGCTTAAAATTATTACAACTAAAAGAAACTCTATATATTACACTTCAAAAAGCAGCTATATTAAATACATGCAGAATAGTTAGGGGAAATTCATGCAGCTAGAAGAAAACGAAATAGGACCTCATCAAATCACACGCTGCATTTGCTTTGGCTTCGGCCCGTAAATGTAGTTGAAATCCAGCCTAGAGCTGAGAAGTGAAAACACTTACCGTAAATAATAATAATAAAATGGCGTAGGGAATTGACGACCCCATCGCCCGCTGACGTAACAGTTAAGTGACAAAACTGCTACGTCACCGCAGTCAGTCAGCACCTTGCGAGAGGTGTGAGCGCCGTGCCCCGGCAGAATTCAGGGTGCAAAGACCCGTTTGTGCTTATGGCCGTCCACGATACGGTGCCGGGCCTGGGCGTCTCCCATTAATGGACGCCCAAATTATGGATGATTGAAAAAAAGTGAAAAAAAGTAGTGCACAAAGGGCCGCTGCCTGGAGGTCGCCAGGGCGCGTCTAGAGCTGGCGCTGGACGCGACAGCATGCGGGCCGCCAGCCAAGCGCGGGGTGTTGCAAGACCACCTAGCAGTCCCCCGCATCCATCATCCCCACCAGAAGGCTTGGTGTCGGCTGGGTCTTCTCGGACTCAGCAAGCGGCACCCGCCGCCGGTGGAGCACGTCGCATGCGTTAGTCAAAATTAATGAACGCAAACGCACTGCGGGCGTATTTTAGGCCAAAAGGGGAAGAAACTGGATGTTTGGCGTATCGGGCTCGGATGCATCGCTTTTTTGCAGAGCTGGAGCCATCTCTATCCGTCACTGAGCAAAACCTGGTAGACCGAGTTCGGTACATCCTGCGCTCCAACATATTTGGTGACGCCGAACTCGAACGACTATGACGTGAGGCTATTCCTTCATCGAATGGAAATGCTACGGCTGGGAATGCGGCGCCACTAGATGCTCAACAAACTGCATATGTGGATGCTGCCGTCAATATTCCATTTGGCTAATTCAGACGATGATGGAATGGTCTCCCACAAACTAGAGAAAATGAGGAGCATATTGGAAGAGTCGATGCTGGAAAATCGACCGCGACTTCCCTGCATATCCCTTAGCAAGCGAAATCGGGCTGTCGTGCGGGCTCTTAACCCAATGCTGGTGACCTATTTGGAAGCCAGCCGGGACCTGTGCGAGACGGACTCAATTCTTTTTGGCGCCGCACTGGCAGTATGCCGTATTATTGGCGCCAAACTTCCCGTGGCTGGACGTGCTACTCAAAAAAGTAGCGCCATCCCAACCTGAAGAAAAAGAATTGAGGACCGTATCGCAAAGGAAAGGGACCTTATCGGCAGACTGACAAGCTTCAGGTCGGGTAATAATAGACCGAGAGTGGTGCGCACCGTTAGAATGGCGTTTGCTGGGACAAATATTAGTTTGTCCCAGCCCAATATCACGCAGAAACTAACGGAGCGCATAGATGACCTGAAGCAAAACATCGCTGCTTGGGGGAAGCGGATTCGACGATTCAGCGAGAGGTCAAGGCGCTTCAACCAGAATCGTCTCTTCCAGAGTGATCAGAAGAGGCTCTATAAATCATTGGAGCGACCAGAGGCATGTGGAACGGGCCCAGGACCGGATCAGGCTGACACTGTCGCATTTTGGCGTGGCCTGTGGTTAGAGCCCGTAAACCACAGCGAGGGCCCTTTGATGGGAGTTGTGGTGAGCCAGAGTGCAAGTGTTACGCCTATGGACCCCATCACCATAACGCCTGAAGACGTGGCTGAGGCGGTCCGTAGGGCCCCGAACTGGAAAAGTCCGGGGCTCGACGGGCTGCATCATTACTGGCTGAAGGGGTTCGTAGTGTGTCACGCTGTGCTCGCCCGACTACTGGTCGCTCTTCACCACTGGGATCAACCATTTGGTTCCTAAAGACCAGGGTACCACAGACCCGAGCAAATACCGCTCCATCACATGTCTACCGACCATATACAAGACACTAACATCCATTTTGAGCGCGAGAATCACTCGTCACCTGGACTCAAATCAGGTGATTTCGTGCGCTAAAAATGGATGTCGGGGCGGCGGTCATGGAACCAAGGAACCACTCCTCATTGACGCGGTCATTGGCAAAGTGGTGAAACACAACCGTCGGAACTTCTCCGCCGCCTGAATAGATTACAGAAAGGCATTTGACTCGGTGCCCCATACATGGCCAAAGAGGGTCCTCGAGCTGTACAAGATTGACTGTACAGTTCGAGACTTACTCGAGCAGTGTATGGGGCAGTGGAGTACGATCCTCTGTTATCTAGGCGAGCGAATGACGGCTGCGGAAAGTCGCATAAGGATAAGAAATGGCATATTCAGGGCGACTGTCTGAGTCCAATCTGGTTCTGCCTCTCTTTGTACCCTCTCAGTACTTTACTGGAGGGCTCCGGGAAGGGATTTCAGCTTAGGAAAGGAGGTACAAAAGTTACCCACCTTTTCTATATAGACGACCTCAAATTATTCGCCTCCAGTCGCTCCCATCTTATGGAATTGCTAAACATCACTTGTGAATTTAGCAATTCTATTAGAATGGAGCTGGGGACGTATAAGTGTGAGGTCCTCCATGTTGAAAGGGGAAGGGTTGCTAAATCTGAGGGCATAGACTTATCCTTGCTCGTCAACTTAAGGACCCTTTCCTAGGCTGAAACATACCGATACCTGGATATGTCACAGAACATCGGTATCGATGAGGCTGGTGTGAAACAGTCAGTTTGCGACGTGTTTTATGCACGCTTGACCAAAGTGCTTAACAGCCTTTTGTCCGGTGTGAATAAGACACACGCATATAACGGCTGGGTCATGCCTGTCCTCATGTATACATTTGGCATACTCAGGTGGAGTCAGACTGAACTAAACGCCCTGGATATAAAAGTCCGCACTACAATGACGTCCAATAGGATGCATCATCCGAGATCGTCGGTAATGAGGCTGTACTTGCCGCGAAAGCATGTTGGGCGTGGCTTCTTGACCGCACTCACCATGCATAATCGCGAAGTGTGCAGCCTCCGTCATTACTTCCTGGCGAGATCGGATGATCCATTCTATAATGACGTCATTTCTAGTGATAAAGGACTTCCCCCTCTATCCTTAGCCAACGAGCAATGACAGGACCCGGCAGTACAGAGCATTTCCGACCAGGAGACCGTATAGAAGAAGAAGGAGCTCCACGGGAAGTACTACAGTGATCTACATGAGCCCTACGTAGATACAGCCACCTCCCTCAACTGCCTACGTTTCAGTGACTTCTTCGGGGAAACCGAGGGTTTTGTATGTGCAATACAGGATCAGGTTATTAAGACCAACAACTATCGGAATACATCCTTAAGGATGGCACTGTCGACGTCTGTCGAGCTTGTCGCCATCCCGGGGAGTCACTTAGGCATGTCATCTCCGGTTGTTCGGCGCTTTCCAAACTCTGAGTACTTGCACAGGCACAACCTAGTAGCCAGAATTCTACACCAGGAGCTCGCTCTGAAATACGGTCTCGTGGACCGGAAATTGCCGTATTACAAGTACTTACCGGAAGCCGGTGCTCGAAAATGACCGCGCCAGGCGCTACTGGGACCGGACCATCATCACGGACGGGACTATTCCTGCGAATAAGCCTGATATTGTGCTGATGGACCGGGCACAGTCAAGGATATTTTTGGTCGACATTACCATTCCGTATGACGAGAACCTCGTGAAAGCCGAAACAGGTAAACGAACAAAATATCTGGACCTGACTCACGAGGTGACCGACATGTGGGGTGGTATGCCGGCCGAAATTATTCCTGTAGTCGTCTCTGCGAATGGGCTAATCCCAGTCAGCCTCTCGGGTCATCTGAGGCGACTGGGCCTCCGTGACGGACCGCTCCGGGCTCAAATGCAGAAGGCGGTGCTCCTCGATACCGCCCGCATCGTCCGCCGGTTTCTTTCCCTTTCCTCCTAACCCTCGGCCGTTTGGTCTCCCCTGTCTAGGGCTTCCATCTGGTTGGGCTTTTATTTGTTTATATATTTTTGTATTTATTTTATTTTAATTATAAATTGTATATTTATAGAACCCAACCAGATGACAAAACTATATAGATACACATAATAATAATAATAAAGCCTCTTTTATTTCCTTAACTTACAGAGTTATAAAACTAAATAAAACTTTGGATTATAATAAAATTGTACATATTAATAATATATAATGCACATTTGTATAGCTAAGTTAAGGCCCCTGGCGGGTATAGGCCTCCTCCAACAGTTTCCAGGTTTTTCTCTTCTTTGCTTTCTTTGTCCAGTCGTTTCCGGCATATTTTTTGATCTCATCTACCCAGCGTTCCTTAAGACATCCTTTAGCTTTCTTGCCACCTGGACCTGTCCACATTGTGGCCAAATGTGTCCACCTTTTATCTGACAGTCGTGCTACGTGGCCAGTGCACTTCCACTTGAGCTTTCTCATACGTTGTAGAGCATCTATGACATTGGGTTTTTTTCTTATGTTTTCTGATTTTATTTTATCGTTCAGCCTAATATTCAAGATGCTCCTTTCCATAGCACGCTGCGTCTTCTGTATTCTGTCTGTCGCATATTTGTTGTACATCCATCCATTTTCATTTGGATTGGACTTAAATATTTCTTTTAAGCTCCAGAACTTTCTCCACGTCATGTTTATTTTACTGTCAATTTCATAATTGTTTCTAGAATTAAGAAATGAGATGGATTTCCCTAGATATATGTAGCTCTCTACGTATTCTAAGCTCTGTAAATTGTTAACGTGTATAGGCGTTTGCCTGTGGTTAATCATCACCTTAGTTTTTATTGTGTTTAGTTGTAGTCCTATTCCGTTACTTATTTTTTAATTAATTATGCATAGTGTACCTTAAATAAACCATTTAAATATAAAATTACATGCTTTAATTTCTTCCTCCCATTTCCACCATCGGAGAACCAGGTGGTCGGCGAGTCTTCATCCCTTTGTTGTAGATATTCCACGCTTTCGAACCAAACGGTTTGCTTTATCTTTCGTAATTCGTATAGCAAAGGAGTAGAATAATTTGCGCCGTCGCTAACTAACTAAAAAGCTAACCACCATTTACGATAAGATAGTTTTTGTGTGTTTTAGTTGTCGCCAAGCGCTGGCTTATAATAAGTAATAAAATAAAATAAAATGAGACAACTGACAGTAAAAAGAAGTTAAGATTTAAATAGCAATTAAAAACTGAGAACGTGTTAAACGCGCCTGGAGGCAAACATCTCGGTGGACCGGCGCCAACCACTTAACGGGTTCCTTTATTTTCGACATACACCTTTTATATCCGTTCCCCGGCCATTGACGCTTCTGAGAAACGAAATGATTGCTTTCACAATATTTACTTTCTCCAGCGAATGAGTCATAATGGATGCGTCTTTGTCACCATGCTTAAGCAGAATTTGGGTATTGAATTCGCGCTATTAGTTCGAATAAAGTGAGTGAACGGCGTACAAGGACGTACATTAATAGCTAACGATTTATATTACAACTTGAAATATTTGTTCATATTTAATATTTACCTCGTTTAGTAGGTGTGTTACGAGTTAGAATTTAATTTGTTTCTTTCCGCGTTACGAGTATGAAAAAAATGATGTGTCCTGCCCAGTTTGAAGACCAAAGAGAGTTAGCTCCTAAAACTAGGCAGAACAAATCATTTTATTTAATTACGCTGAAAGATACAAATTAAGTTCTAACAACTTTAATATAATGCATTTCCGCAAAGTAACGCCTGATTATATTAATCAGTAGGTGTTTCTGAATGTGCAGATCTTATGAGTGAACTAAACTAACCTGTTCTACTTGTTTTTTTTTACTTTGGAATAACCATTCCCGTAGCTTTCTTTATTATACTCGTAACAGGCTGTTATTTTTTACAGAATAATGGTCACAAACGAGCACACATTTCACCTGATGGTAAACGGATGTTGTAACCCATAGACATCTGTCTTTGTCGTCGATTAAGAAACAAAACACAGACGCGTTATCACCGTGAACAATATGGAATGCCTCGTTTCCAGTAAAAAAGGTCTCCGGATCTCTACACTCACCATACGATACACAGCAATAATAACCTTTTTTTGGGTTAAATTTTTTTTTGGTTTGCCTTCGAGCTGATATTTTAGGCTGGTATTCTGTGAGAGCGTGATCCTTCCCCGATCGAGCCGACTCATTGATGCTACAACCATAATATATCTGCATCGTGGCTGTACGACGTATAAAAGCCATATATATATATTGCAAATGTATCATCTGT